ACACATACCTTTATAAAAAAATAAACAACAAATTCAAGTTAAACATATTTAATGAAGGTAAAAAATATATAAATTTTTAAAAAAATTATAGATATTAAAAAACTATCTATCTTTTCAACATTTCTTATAAACACATTCTTTCAAAAATATTTTTTTAACAGTTTTTATGACTACAATAACTATAGATATAATTTATGTGTTTTATCATGACAGCACAACACTTAATTAAAACCACTTAACACTGACATGGACAATAATCTTGCACTAACAAAGCCAAGTTACATTATAGCAAAGTACACCACTTGGCTAGCAAGGTCAACACTCTTGCTGTAAACTAAGCCAAGTCACAACAATTTGAAACCATGTAAACAACATATTAACCACTTACAAACTATAAACAAATAATATTATATCACAAACATAGAAACACTCATATATAAATATATTTGCACTTACAAAATATAAACCCATATAACTTTAACACATATAAACAAATAATAAATAACACACAAATATAAATAAATATATCAACTTTACAAATACAACCTTTTTGTAATATTTGCTTAATGACATACTTCATAATAAATATTTAACAACTTGCAAAAACAAACGATCAAACAATCTGGTATTTTATATAAAAGCAAACAGATTTTTTTTTTTTTTCTTTTTTAAAATAAGGTATTAAACGATCTTGTTCTTGTAACATAGTAACAGAGTTGTGACATAACATAGTAACATAGATTTGTAACATAACGTAGAATTATAACATAACATGTAACATAGAGTTGACCATGTGAGATCCAAGGGTTTTGGAGATTAACACTAACTTTTTCTAAAAATTCCATGTAAATGCGCTCGAATGGGCAGCAGCAGCAATGGCAACGTTGAATTAAGTTTTTTTTATAAGCAATTGGAAAGGAAGGATTCAATAATATTAAAGATATTACCAGATACACCGTAAGAAGAAAGCTTATGAAGAAGACCAGCATGCCAAACTTTATCAAAAGTTTTAGAAATGTCAAGAGCGTTGGCCTTAACCTCTCCACCTTTATCTAATGTACAATAAAACCTATCATTTATTAATCTTAGCAAATTGGCTGTAGAATGAGAAGATTGAAATCCATATTGATGATCAGAAAGTAAATTATTAGATTCAAGATGAGATATTAAGTGTTTTTGTAAACAAGTGACTTTGTTTTTAATAAAAAAAAAAAAAATCTGTTTTCTGCTCTAATATCCATGAACTTAGCTATACATCATTGATATAATATGTGTTAAAGATAAACCTTTCTTGTATATCTTTTTTTTTTTTTTTTTTTTTTTATTTACTTCCCCAAGGCCAAGATGGTCACTACAGATGAGGAGGCTACTTGTGATTATAACCCACTCTCAACTCTATAGTTTCGAAACACGAACCTTGAAGAACAAGGCTGCTGCGCGGAGAAACAAGTTGAGCGCAGTACTACCAGGGAGGTGGTGGGAATCGAACTCAGAAACTTATGAGGCGAGCGCTCTACCACTACACCACTTCCGCAATCTCTACCACTACTCTATCACCACACCACTATCTATTAAATATCTGGTAAAGATAAACCTGATTTTTTTATTTTTATTTCTTCTGTACTTTTTTTTTTTTATTTCTTTATCTATTAGACTGGCGCAGATGTATTCTTATTACATTGTTTCCAGTTTAGGATGTTGAATGCTGAATCATCTTGACTCGATGCATGGGTTTTGCTTGTGTCTCTTTTTTTATGACTAGGCAACTCAATCAATTATCTCCTAATGAGGGTACAGCTCTAAAACTCAGTTTTATGATTCTGAGGCCGGCTGGTAGTCAGGTTTCCCCAACTCTGTGGTAGCTCTTAGAGTGGTTGATTCCATTAACAGCTGAGAATTATCAAAGTATTAACAGTGCCATGTTACGAATCGATGGTGTCGGTGTGCATTGTCTAGGCCACATTGGAGCATTTTGTAACAGCAGAGTTTATTGATAGTAATGAGGCAATTGAAGATCATCTACTTTTGGAAAAATTGACATTTTGATCACCTAAAATTAAATCTGGCCAATCAAATTCGATCAGCAGAAGTTGCTAGTCAAACTTTTGTAATTATTATTACAAAAATATTTTAAATACAGAAAGTTAATTAGCATCAAAATTATTTTGAAATTAATATTATTCTAAATAAAATAATGTAAGTAAAAACAGCAAATAAACAACTTATTTAAATTCTGAATAAAATAATAAATAAAAAAAACGGCAAAGTTTTATTATAATTCTAAAACGGCAAAACAAAGCATTTGTTTATTTTTTCTATAATAAAGTAAAACAAAAATGGCACATCAAAAATTAATTTATATTTTAAATAAAATAATTAGGATAAAAACGGAAAAACAAACATGTTTATATATAAAATATATATAAAAAAAAACAGCAAAATTTTATTTTGATTCAAAATAAAATAATTAAAATAAAAACGGCAAAACAATTTATTTAAATTTTAAATAAAATAATTGAACTAAAAATGACATTGGATTTATTTCAATTCTAAATAAAATAATTATAATAAAAACAGCAAAAGATTGTTTTTTTTAATTCTAAATAAAATTTAAACAAACATTTGCTTAAATTCTAAATTAAATAACTAAAAAAGTATGGCAAAACTATCGTTAACTTGAATTCCAAAAAAAACAATTAAAACAAAAATGGTAATGTATTATTTACTCAAATTAAAACAATTAAAAAGAAATATGGCAAAACAGACAATATATATAAACTCTTAATAAAATAATTAAAACAAAAACGGTAATGTATTATTTACTCAAATTAAAACAATTAAAAAGAAATATGGCAAAACAGACAATATATATAAACTCTTAATAAAATAATTAAAGCAAAAACGGTAATGTATTATTTATACTCAAATTAAAAAAATTAAAAAGAAATACGGCAAAACAGACGATTTATATAAACTCTAAATAAAACAATTAAAATAAAAACAGCAATGTTTCATATATACTCAAAATAATACAAAAAGAAAAATGGCAAAACCAACAATATACTTAAGTTCTAAATAAATTTAATAAATTCAAAAAGGCGAAACAAACAATTTACTCAAATTCTAAAGAGAATAATTAAAATTATAATTAATTAAAAGTTATAAAATGATAACGGCAAAACAAAAATCATGTGAGGTAGGATCAAAAAAATGAATTGTAAATTTTAGTAAAATTTAATAAAAAATTGATTGTCTAAAAAATTATTTGATAGTCTGGTTTTTAGTTTTTTTTATTTCAGCCGATTTTACAGGAAATGCATTAATGGTGTAATAAAATAAGTTTGTTAAAGTTTGAACATTTCAAATTGAGTATGGGTCATTAATATGACATATAATAATAATGACCATAAAATGGTCAGTAATATGACAAAAAAAATTATTCCAAAACACCAAATATGCCTTAAAAGGTTACTCTTGTTTGCAGAGAGTTTTCTAGTGTTTTTTTTTTTAGGTGGGATTATATTAAACATAAACTTTGTTACAACCGTGAGTCAGTGTGAGTTGTACTAACAAAATGTAAGTTATCCCAAAGTTCAAATGTGCAATAAAATTAGTAATATTTTGATACAATAAAATAAAAATTTGAAGTTTTTTAAATCTGTAAAGTTGATATATTTATGCCCTAAAGACAGTTATTACAAAGCAAGAGCTCTCCCACTCTACCACTAATCAAGGAGCTAAGGTACTTGATTAGAGTTGTTTGAAAATTGGTCTAAAATTCAACTTGTAATTAATTGGGTGAGTAAATGCAAATAAAGCAAGTGTTTAATGATGTAAGCAAAGTCACTGTAACTAGAGCTATACTATTTAGTGAGATGAGCACAGAGGTTTTTAAATGTTCTTTGATTTGTTGATGGTAAGTGCAGATAAAATACAAATGGTAGTATATTAAAATGCATGAGGGGTTTTTTAGAAGCTCAAAAATCTGATTTAAAATAAAAAAAACAGAATTTATACATAAGTATAAAACTTATGACAGGTATTTGTAAACTTAATTAATAAACCTAATTAGTAAACTTGAATCAAATATGGATAAACTCGCAAATTACTTTGTTCTTGTAAACAAATTGCATTTTATAATTTTGTATATAACATACATTGTTATATTATTATACAATGTTTTTTTTTTAATATTTAGTAAAGGTATAATTTATTAAAGATTACTTGATGGGTATATAGTTCTTAACTAGTATCTTACTATTAGTAAAACAAAAGCTATGCAATGCCTTACACCTGAATCTAAAGTTGTAAAAGGGTTCAATGTATAAATCATTTCTATGATGCAAATAAAGGCTTAGTGAAATATTTCTGTCAAAGTTTAAATAATTGAATAAATATATGCTATCAAAGTTTTGCATGGGAAATTATTTATTATTTTATTATTTCTACTTTTAATTTATAATTATAAGTTGTGAATTTCATTACATGATTGTTAATGAATATGTTTGAAAATTTTTTTAATGTCTGAGGTAAACCCCAATCAAAAAAGCATTTTCATTAAAATGGTTTTTATATTATTATCACTGACTTGTCATAATGTGCTTTGAAAGTTAATAAAGGAGATTTTAATCATTACTTTATTACTATTAATATTAGCAATAAATGTTGGAAGCAGTCAATTATTAGTTTTGCTTTATAAATAAGTTTTTTTGTTGTCACTAATGATATTATTATATCCTTCTCTTATATATTATATACTATGAATGGTTTTTGTAAAATTTCTTTAGCTTGAGTTTTGGATACTATATTTATTACCAATTATAATACTCTACAGTAAGAATCTGTAACATTAATGTGTTTTATGAATACATATTTGTTGTGTTATATGAGTACATATTTTAAGCACTGAAAAGCACATGATAGGTACATATTTAATGCTTCAATTATGTTTTTATTCTAACTTCTCTTGATTTTTATGCTTTATCAATTTTTTACATTAGCTAATTGGGGAGAATGGAGCATTTGGACAAATTGTGAAAGTGCCTTAGATTATACTGATCGAACAAGAGATTGTAAGGTGTTGAATACTGTGCAACAGTGTCCTGGCGAAAGCTTTGAGAGAATTATTTGCTCAGGTAGGAAATAGTTTTAATTGTTGTGATGATTATTATAGCTTTTGTATATTGCTTTAATTAGGGGTGCACCAATGCATCAGCATTAGCATCGTCCATTTATTAATGTATCGTCCATTTAGCAAATGCCTTGGTATCAGTTTTGGTAACATTTGGTCAATGCTGATTGTTTTGAAAGCATTAGATTTTTTATTTTTGTGGGTCTGTATTGTATGCAAATATATAGTTGTTACATACACACACAGGTATATATATATATATATATATATATATATATATATATATATATATATATATATATATATATATATATATATATATATATATATATATATATATGTATATATATATATATATATATATATATATATATATATATATATATATATATTATGTATATATATATATATATATATATATATATATATATATATATATATATATATATATATATATATATGTATATATATATATATACACACATATATATATATATATATATATATATGTATATATATATATATACATGTATATATATATATAAATATATATATATATATATATATATATATATATATATATATATATATATCATATATATATATATATATATATATATATATATATATATATATATATATATATATATATATATATATATATATATATATATATATATATATATATATATGTATATATATATACCAACTGATAAAATCACATGTACGCGATAGAAAAGATAGCCGTGTAAATTAATGTGTTGTTGAATATTATTGAAATCTTTGAATACATTTTTTTATCTGTAAATCCATTTTGAACACAACCAGAAGTCTTTTCAATGAGGTGTACTCTTTATGTTTTTTTTGAGAATCTGACCAGTTGTTAAATTTATCAACTAATTAATGTTCTGTATAGGAAAAATATTTATAAATTTCCAAATACAGATAAAAAAAACAGAAATTTTACTTCATAGCATTTTTAGAAATTTGTTACATTCAAATAGTTAAATTTTTATAGTGCTTAATTATTAATTACTTAGCTGAAAACCCACTTACTTATTTTTTCTATCCCAGAATCCCTTGTAATTTGCCACCAAACCGCCATTTTGTATGTTTATCACTATCAGACTACCAAATTAATTTCTTTAACTAAAATTTTTTATTTTTAACAATTTTGCAGTGGAATATCTCAATTGTGAAAAGTCAGTATATATTTAAGTTGTTATTTTGTAATCTAAATTATGTAAACTACTTTGAATTTTATTTTATATAAATTCATATCTCTAAACTCAAAAAAGATACTGAATAATGGATATCACTGAATATATACTAAATAAATAAAATTTTATAACTTTTGCAATTCACATCATGCTTATTGCATAACTTTATTTGTATTTTTCTAGAATAATAAATATCAGAAAATGTCACAATCAAAACCTGCAACTAGATCTGCAACCGAAATTTACCTTCTCGGTTTCACAAATGCCTCCATTAATGGTACTAGACTACCGTCACGAAAGCAAGCATTACAGTTTTTCTTTCATCAGTTGAAAATAAACAAAAAAACCGTGCGAGAAAGTTTGGACATTACTATTAAAACAGTTGCTGATTTTTGGAACAAAGCTTACATGCCAATGACAACATTGCAACATGCAATTGCGAGGCTAGAGAAAATATACAACAAGTGGAGAAATCTACAAAAGGCTTCAAAAAGAGGAGGAGCAACTCAGATAGCGAAAGAAACAGCCTTTGTTGCATCATTTGAAGATACGTTTGACAATTCTCATGTTGATGCCGAGAGGTTTATACAAAATCCAGATGACAAACTTTTTCTTAAAACTCAGCTTGGAAATGGAAGACACCCAAGTTTAATGGCACAAATAGACAGACAATAAAATTGGCAGTCAAGTTGAAGCGTAAACATGAGAGACAAGAGGCTATAAAAGCCAGAACAGAATGAGAAGAATTAAGACATGCTGTCAGCAACGGTGAAGCAGTAGTTGAAACATTTGAATCAGATTCAGAAAAAAGTTGCAATGAGAACGTAGATTCTGACCATGAATCAGCAGTGACACCGCAGACAAAACGACCTCGTCCAAAAAATATTGTCAGTCCACAAGTTGCAGCAGCTTTAGATCGAACGAAGATATGCAACCGAAATGCGGTTTATGCTTTGGCTTCATTCTCAGTTGCTGTTGGTCAAAACCCAAGTGAACTAGCTCTGAATCGCTGGTCAATTCGACGCAATAGAATGAAACATAGAGACGAAACAATTTTGAAATTGAAGGAAAGTTTTGGTGAAAATATTAGGGATGTTCCACTCGTAGTGCATTGGGACGGCAAGTTACTCCCTGATATATCAGGAAAACATGAAAAAATAGATCTCTTGTCTATTTTTGTTTCGGGTCAAGGTGTAGAATGTCTATTGAATGTGCCTAAGCTCCCAAATGGCACTGGAGAGACAATGGCAAATGCAGTTGTAACAGCAATCTACGACTGGAATCTTGCAGAGAATATAAAAGCCATGTCTTTTGACACTACAGCCAGTAATTCTGGAATTCGCTCTGGTGCAGCAGTTCTTATTGAACAAAAGATGAATAAAGAGCTGCTCCATCTTGCATGTCGGCACCATATTTTTGAATTGTTCTTGGAGATGTGTTTAACTCATTATCTGGACCATCTACTGGACCAGACATTTTGATGTTTAAAAGGTTTCAAACAGCATGGCCATTAATCGTTCGTGACAGATATGAAGACGGTATATCAGACCCTGAAACAGCTTTAGTTTTTAGCAGCAACAGAGAAATGATGAAAAAAGCTATTGATTTCATTCAGAACTGCTTGCTGACAGAGAACCAGCCTCGTGATGATTATAGGGAACCTTTAGAACTGTCTTTGATCTACCTAGGTCATATTCCTCCTCGCGGGGTTCATTTTATGGCTCCTGGGGCTATGCATCGGGCCAGATGGATGGCCAAGGCTATTTATTCAATCAAAATTTTTCTCTTCAGATCCCAGTTTCGCATGACGAAGCGTGAAATAAATTTATCAGGTTTCTTGAATATTTTTGTCTGCTTTGTCTATCTCAACTCATGTTTACTGCTTCGCTGTCCATTCAAGCTCCACTGAATGATCTCATGTGCCTTAAACGACTCACACAATTCAGGATAATAAATTTAAATGTTGCGAATGTAGCGATAAAGGCATTGTCTCGTCATATGTGGTACCTCAGTGAGGAACTGATTGCCTTTAGTTTTTTTGATGATCGTGTTGATGCAGCTACAAAATACCAGATGCTAAATGCAATGAAAACAAAAACTGGAAATGGAATTCCTGCAAAACGTGTTCAACTACGTGAAAACAACATTTCATCATCAGAGCCTGCTGATTTTATTAACTCAAACACCATGAGGTTTTTTGTTAAACTGGGCATCTCAACTTCTTGGCTCAAATTGGATTCATCTTTGTGGAACGAGGACCAAGTTTTTATTTCAGCTAAGCATTTTGTAGCCGGTTTGAGCGTTGTGAATGACAGAGCAGAGAGAGGAGTTGCTCTTATCCAAGACTTTAACCAAATTCTAACAAAAGATGAAGGACAAAAGCAAGCACTTCTCCAAGTTGTGTCTGAGCATCGAAAACAGTTTCCAGATGCCAAGAAATCCACTGTTGTTAAACAGGACTAAATAGTCATTTTTCCATGCAAAACAAAATAAAAAACTAAAGTGATATTTAAATTATAGTTAATTTTTTATGGTTTTTAATGTTCAATTCCTTGTTATTTAAAAACTTTTGAATTAAAATAGTTTATATAAAAAAAAAAATTTCAAGTGCTTACAGCCATTAGCATCAACCTTAATGAAACTTTCAACCCCGTGTTGCACCCCTTAATGATGAAATATCCTTCTCAAATTTTGCACATAAGTTTGTTATGCTAAAAGGAACTAAAATAGAGGTTGTCCCATCAATTTACTTTGAAAAAGTTTTTTGAGCATCACCCTAATATGTATATATATATATATATATATATATATATATATATATATATATATATATATATATATATATATATATATATATATATATATATATATATATATATATATATATATATATATATATATATATATATACATATATATATATATATATATATATATATATATATATATATATATATATATATATATATATATATATATACATATATATATATATATATATATATATATATATATATATATATATATATATATATATATATATATATATATATATATATAATAATAATTATAAAAATAATAATAATAATAATAATTAGAGATTAAAGTGCCATTATTTACGACAGTCACAATAGTGATAAAGTAATTTAGAAGCACTAAACAAGTAAACTATGAGTCTGAAAAAGAGTTCATACTTTAGTCTTTTTTTTGAATGTTTCTATTGAAGTTTATATTCGTGTATTCAAAGAGAAATCATTCCAAATTTGAGGTGCAGTCATACAAAAAGATTTTGAGCCCAGGGAGGTTTTTTGTTGACAACGTGTAAGTTGGCAACTGTCTAATGATTTTGTATTATGTATTTTGTTTTGAAATTCGGACTTCTAGGAGTTCAAATAAATATGCAGGAAATTTTGATAATAAAATGTTATATGTGGTAACTGATATTTTATGGATTATTCTTTGATTGGTAACCAATGAAGAGATTTCAGCAATATTTCTGATTTTAAATGGAAAGGGAATGGAAAACAATACTAGATAAGTTATTTTGAATTCGTTGGAGTTTTTAAAGATTTTTTTGATAAGTGCCAGATTAAATGCTGTTACAATAGTCAAGCTGAGAGTTAACGATGCCACAAGCAATAAAGTTTGCAGCTTCTTTGGTCAGACATGGACAAATGTGGAGAAGTGCACAAATCTGGTAATTGCAGGATTTAATAATGATGTTTATGCGCTTGTCCATAGAGAGCTTTGAATCTAGGGTGACTCCAAGGATTTTTACTGAATTTATTGTAGTTATTGTGGTTCCAGAAAATGCAATATTCGAATCATTTTTATATTTGCTAGTTTGTTTTCTAGATCCAAATAAAATAGCTTCTGTTTTATTTATATTAGGCAGAAGTCCATTTTCTAGAAACCATGTTGTTACTGCATTAGCACACTCAGTGATTTTGTTGATGCTATCTTTGCCAGGGCTGAGGAAAGTATAAAGTTGGGTATCATCAGCATATTGATGATGATTTGTACTAAATTTAGCTATAATATGATATACAGGTGAAACAAACATAGAAAATAGAAATGGGCCTAATACACTACCCTGTGGTACTCCTGTTGAACTTGCTATTAGTCTAGAATTTGATGATCCAATAGAAATAAAAAATTTTGGAGAGTGCAATGTTGATGTTAGCCATTTTAATGCATTATCTGTGACACCAAATTCATTCTTAATATGGGTAATCAGCAGGCTGTGATTGATTGTCTCAAATGCTGAAGATATGTCCAGAGATAGGAGAACAGTGGTCAAACCATCATCAATGTTTAGCAGGATGTCATTGCATATCTTTAAGAGTGCTGTTTCGGTTGAGTGATAAGATCTAAAACCAGATTGTAGAGGATTGAAGTCAACAGATGATGTTACGTGTGGATGAAGACGAGATAAAGCAAGCTTTTCAATAATTTTCGAAATTGTATTGAGATTTGATATGGAGCGCAGATTCATTAGGTCAAATTCTGCTAGTCCTGATTTTTTGCGAATTGTTGTTATTTGAGCAACTTTATATGAGGCTGGGAAAATTCCGGATTTGAATGAGAGGTCAGCAAGGTGAGCTTTAATTGGACTGAATATTTTTGAACAAGATTTAAGGATGTTTGTTGGAATAATATCAAGTGGCCATGTCTTAGGTTTGAGAGTTTTGATTATTTTCGACATATCTGTAGGTGTGACTGTACCAAATGTTGTTAATATATCTACAGTGGGAGATGACTCTGAGATAAATTTAGATATTGGGGTTTTTGCAAGCCTTTTCTGGATAGTGTTCTTTATAATTTCGAGTTTGCGTATGAAATATTGACTTATTATAATGCATTTTGCTTCTGGTATATTTTGTTTTTAGATTTAGAACTATTCGAATGTAGTAATTTCTTGGCAATGCTCCATGTTTCTTTTTGATCACCATATGCTGAATTTAGTTTTGCCTTATAATGACTACATCTGGATTTGTGATTTGTGAATTTTTGGAATGATTAAATTTGATCGATATTTAGCAACATCATTGTAGCTTGTATTTGCCAGATTTAGCTTAGCTGATGTACGTTCATAAGACAGACAGGTAGATGATAATGAGAGTGGTTTGATATTAAAATTTTCTCTATATATTATTGCAACGCCTCCTCCACAATGGTCTGATCGGCAGTATTGAATTGTTTTAAAGCCTGGTGGGGCCATATCTTCTTTAATTGCAGTAGGGTTGTCTGACTTTATCTAAGTTTCAGTAAGTATAAAAATATCTAGAGAATAATTTTGCACTATATCATAAATGATAGCAAATTTTTTAATGATTTTCAAATGATAGCAGATTGAACATTTTGGATACCCAAGTTTAATGCAGAGGTTCTTTTAATTTTTATATGTAAATTATGCCGATTTAATTTCGATCCATTTGAGTTCACCTGATCGTATACCCCAATAATATTTTTTTCCATTGTGAACATTGTATCATTGCCTCCCATTTGTTCCCTCAACCTCTTGAGCAAGTACTTAATTTCTAGCATTTCTAACTTTTCTGAGTTCACTTTTGAACAATTTCTCATTTGCTGTTTTGTCTTTATTAATAAAAATATTTTTGAAGTTAATACTGTCCTTTAACTTTTTAGAATTTTTAATTATAAAATTTTGAGTTTCTTTGTTCTACAATTCAACTAAGATGAGGTCAGGTGCTCCTACTGGTCTTTTAGTTTTATTAGTTAGTCCAATTATTCTTTTTGCATTTGTTATTGAAAAATCTTGTTTAACTGCTTTTAGTATTGTTTCAATGGTTTGTTTATCATTTTCTTCATTAACTTGTTTATCTAAAGTAGTATGGTCAGCAACTCCACTTATAACGATGTTGTTTCTATTCTTTTTTTATTATTAAACCCATTTATAATTTTTGCCATCATTACCACTTCAGCTTCTTTTGGTTTTAATTGATTTTTCTGTATTGATATTGATTGTGCATATGTGAATATTATTGTTGGTTTATTTGTTGTTGCTGTTAAGACATTTATCTTTTGATCTTCAAGAATTTTAAGTCGTTTTAAAAGGTCTGAAACAATATATGATATTTTGACACACCATATATGCATGTTTTTGGTAACTTCAGCAAATGCACTTGGAATTGTTGGCCAATTTGGTTCTTCTAAGCATTTACAGTCGAATTCCATGCTTTTTTTATTATTTATTTTCAAATATATGAGAGGGCTACCACACTAAATAACAGTGGATTACCTCCTGATGTCTTCTGAAGGAGGGCTACCACCCTGAATAACAGTGGATTACCTCTTGAGTATATATATTAACCTTATTAACATAAATAGAACTGTTTGTTTTTTATATATATATATATATATATATATATATATATATATATATATACATTTATATATATATATATATATATATATATATATATATATATATATATATATATATATATATATATATATATATATATATATATATATATAACATGTTTAACATACGTTATATTATTATACAATGTTTTTTTTTAATATTTACTAAGTATAAATTATGAAAGAGTGCTTGATGCATATATAGTCCTTAAATTAGTAAGATAAATGTATATATATATATATATATATATATATATATATATATATATATATATATATATATATATATATATATATATATATATATATATATATATATATATATATATATATATATATATATATATATATATATATATATATATATATATATATATATATATATATATATATATATATATATATATATATATATATATATATATATATATATAGAAACATTAAAAATGACAAATAAGATGATGTTTGAAGTAACTCATAAATTACCTATTAGTGAAAAAAAAAAGAGTGCATATTCAAATTTAGGCTCTTTACCAATCAGCATTGACCAAATGTAGGTATTGGTGTAACCCTAGTTTTAGTAAAGAAAATTAATAAATCCATCATCCTAATGAAACATTTTGATGATTTTTTTAGCTTCTTGGACACAATGGGGGGATTGGTCAATATGCAATCTTTCTAATGGCAACGGGTTTATTAACAGATCAAGAGTGTGTAATATTTTTTTAAATTCAGCATCATGTGCTGGTGTTGCATCTGAAGTAAACCAATGTTATGGTAAAAATATAATAGTGAATTTATTTTTTTATTGAAAAAACTTTAGTATATAAAATATTATGAAAAACCTTCACAGTTTAAATTGTGGGTTACTCATTTAGATCCAATTTTCTACTATTTTTCTAATATTTAAAGGAGTTTGTAAAATATAATTTTTTGGTTAGTCCATGCCAGTTATACCAAAATTTTAAGATTTAAACATTAGATTTAACTTGGTAATTAGGTTTATATCAATGAGAAAAGCAGTTATTAAAAATTTTAACCTAAAACTTTTTGTGGTTCATGAAATATGAGCATTTTAAATTTCAGATTTTTCAAAAATAAAAAAAAATAAATTATGTAATGAAAACATATTTTGTTCTTTTAAGATTTATATTTTAAAAACAAAAATTTCAACTATTTTCTTTTTTATAATATATACTTTAGTCATACTTTAGTATATAATCAACAGATAATTTTTTAATGTCACATTTTATCCATATTTCTTACCTAAAATTGTTAAAATTGTTTGCAAATATAAAAAGTTGATTTTTAATCAACAAGCAACACTTGTATGTTTTACCTATTTTTCAGTCAATGTAGGAACACTCCCAGGGCCGCTGAGAGCTGTCTCACTGCCTTGGACAGCAATCCTGATTGGCACCCATCTTTATCAATTTTTCCCTACATTATATATGAAGGACCTTTTTTTATTTTATAAAAATAGTAAAAAAAAAAAGAAATACAAATTCACCATTAAATAAAAAAACTTTCAAATCATAATTATTATGGTTTTTTAAAAATTGATAAAACTTAATGTACTTTTGCATCTTTTTAAATGTTTTAAACAACATTTAAACAGCATTTAAATGTCACTTAATTTTTGATGTTAAAAAAACTTTTATGTTAAAAAAATGTGTTGGTAGAGACATTTTTTTTACCATTAAAGTTTCTTTCGAGTAAAACAAAGTAATAAACACACACACACATTTAATAAAGGGGCGGATCCAGCATATTTTGGTCTTTGAGATAGCTAACATCCAGACATGGCGCTAACTCCAAATATTTAACTATTTATACTTATCATTCAAGTTATTAATTCTTATTTTTCAAATCTTTATTTTATATATATAACATTTATCTTTTTTATTTATTTGTGTGAAACTTGATTAAAAGCTTAATTTACTCTTCAAACCATAAAGTTAAATGTATTATTTTGGATAATGATTAAAAATAAATAAAAATTAAAATATATATTTAGATTTAACTCAATGTTGCATTAGAAAAATTTCAAGATTGCCATAAAGTAAGGTTTATCGAAATTGAAAAAATTAAATGTTTTGAATAAAACCACGGATGTGTCATTCCTTTATGGCTGTAGTTCCAGCCGGAGTTTAAGACTTTCAAGCCATTTCAGTTCTGTCCGGAATTGCAATATTTCATACCAGAATACCTTTCATTTTAAGACATTTGACACAGACTGTGTAAATTAAATTAAAAATTATTGCACTACCTGTCAATCAAGAGCTATAGCTAAACCTAGGTAAAAAAAAACAACATTCTTAATAAACTCAATGTAATTTTATTTGCAGTAATCAATTATGTAAGGATTTCTGGAAGTTTAGAAATATTTTGGTGCAAAAAGAATTGTTCTCCAGTTTTGGGAATAAACTTGCTCTTTTTTCATCAAAAATGTTACTTGCCTCTGAGAATAGTCTTATTTTAAATATTTTTTAAATTTTAAACAATTAAAAAGTATAACATGTCTAATACTGTAATTATTTGAATTTTGACCTAAATGGAAAAATAGGAAACAAAGAAATAGTTTTAAATATTAATATTTTGCGGGTTAAAACTTTCAATAAATGAAATTATAATAAACAAATAAAAGCAACATATTATATTTAAATGAAACAATAATCAAATTAATGAAATAGGTTATATATATACATTATAGGTTATAAATATATATTATGTAGCCACGATGCTGAGGTGCTGTTTTAAAAGTAAAAAATTACATAATTTTTTACTTTCAATTTTGAAAGTAGAAAATTACATAAACATATGTTATTCAAACTTTTTTATTAAATTACATAAACATATGTTATTCAAACATATTCTCATTCCAGAGCGGAATTTTATTAACAAATACAGCAAATCCGGTTTTGGTCAGAATTCAAAATTTCCCAATTTGGTACACCCCTAGTTTTGTGGAACTAATAGAAAAGATCAAGAACTTGTGCACTTATGATGTAAAGTAAATCATATTTAAACTATTTGTGAGTATCACAAAAAAGTCTTTTTAAATAGAAGCTTTAGTTAGTGACATTTAACTAACATGAAATTAAATTAAAAAGTATTTAAAAATAAATTGACTTTATCAATTATAAAAGATAAAGGTTTATTTAATGTTTTATAATTTTGTTACTTTTTAGTATATGTTAGAGTAACCAACGTTGCTATGGTGAAGTTGTATGTAACTTAACAAATTGAGACAGCATGCTGCACAGTTGCGATAATTCCCAGATACTGCAGGCCTTGTTTTAAACCTTTAAGCTTGCATGCAATTTACATACTAGTAAAGTGATTTCCATGAAGCAACTTTTGATATTTTTTTAACTTTTAAATTGTTCTATTAAGCAGTAAGAAAAAAAAGTTTTTAATTTTATAAAAAACCACTCTGATGATTATTTAAAAAAGTTTGAATAACAATTATTTAGATGTAAGCGCTATTTACTAATGAAAAAAACTCAAATAAAATTGAAACCTACAAAAATTTAATCTTTATTAAGCTAGTTATTTTTGATTAAAACAAAATTGTTTATAGTTAACAACAATTTATTTTTTTTATGCGAAGTTATTAATCGGAACGTTAAAAACGTCATCTTGGAGGAAAAAAATATTTATGCAACTTTTGATTGCATTAAAAAAATTTACATAATATCTATATAGTAATAAATAATTTATATATATATATTTTTTTATTGTATTGATTTTTTTTTTTTGCTTGAAACACGCTAATACTTTAAGCTTGAAGCAAAGATCATTATAATGTAATTAAATTCTAATAAAAAAATATATGATTTAAATATATAACTCATTTTTGAGTTATATATTTAAATCATATATTTTTTAAAATCAAAATTGAGTTATATATCAAAAATATATAACTCAATTTTGATTTAAATATATATATATATATATATATATATATATATATATATATATATATATATATATATATATATATATATATATATATATATATATATATATATATATATACTATATATATATATATATATATATATATATATATATATATATATATATATATATATATATATATATATATATATATATATATATATATATATATATATATATATATATATATATATATATATATATAGCATCCTAGTTGGCGACAATAAAATTAGATAAAGCGAAGCAAAAAAAAAATAGTTTAAAGTCTACAACAAAAAAACTGATTTTCCTTATCTTATTTTTTTTTGACGAGGATAGCAAAAATACAAATTGCAATGTGTTTGTAAAATTTATTTGTAAAATTTTAATGTAACAACAAGGGTTAAGCGAATGCAAAACGCAAAATCTGGAAAAATATCTAGAATTCAAAATTTTAGTTTATACAAAACTGTGTACTTTGTTTTTAAAGGGAGAATCAACTTAAATTTGTTAGCGAAAAAATAAAAAATAAAACAATAAACTTACTATTACAAAAGAAATAACACTCTAGTCAACTTGAAAAAACACGCGTTAATTTTAAAATTAACCAATAAAAATTTTTTATTATATATAAAAACTAATATAATGTCTTTTCACTTCTTATATATCAATAATACATTTTGTATATTGACTCATAAAAAATAAACTTTTATATTTGCAAACATCTTTTTTAGGATTTTTAAGTAATTGTTATGGATAAAATATAACATTAAAAATAAAATTAAAAATAAAATTAAAAAAAATATAGCAATAAAAAAATGTCAACAATTTACAAAAGTATGACTAGAGTTGTATTTAAATAATATATGTTAATATATTATTTATTCTTCCTTCCTTTTTTTATATCAGTGCTTGAAAAAAATGCCATTCAGTGATTGGCAAGAATTCCAAGTCAAACTTTTATAATAATAAGTTGAGCATAGTTTAAAATATAATGTAAAATTTTTTTAGTTTGTCCCAAATTACATTAGGTAACTAATAATGCTGAAAGTGTTATTAAATTTTACAAGATAATTCGTATTTAGTAATTTTATAAAAAAAAAAAAACAATAGGCAAGATGTAATTTATTTACTTTATTAATTTATTTAAACTAGTTTTTTAAATGGGAATAATAGTTTTTCGAGGACAAATGATAATATTTTTATATAAAGGCATAGTTAAAATATATATATATATATAAGTCTTTTTAAAAACAGCATTATAAAAATGGACTAAAAAGTAAAAAATAAACTACTAAAATTTCACAGGACCCAAGGTCTTGTGAAATTTGTGTATGTACACAACCTGTAATATCAATTGAAGTCAATGACTTAAATTGATACTTCAGGAGTGAAAATGTTGGGCAACTAAGTGCAACTCGTTCCTATTGGCGCCCAACATTTTCAGTTACTGACTTTAATGGATATTTCAGTCCATTTTTAAAATGTTGTTTTTAAAAAAGTCTTTTTTATATATATTTTTTATTATTCAACAGTGATTTTATTTAATTACACTAAACTAAAAGGCTAAAAGTTTATTTTTTGTTTTAATTACTTTTCTTAACTATTTTTTTATTTATGCTAAAGTTTTTTTTGCGTTGTTTGTTTTAAATAATTTTTTTAATGCTTTCTTTTATTATTACTGTTGACCTCATGTTTGTTTTGCGCAGACACAAAAAAAATAGACCACAAGAAAGGAAGTTAAATAAAATGTTATAAAAAGCTAATAATGAGTTAAAAGCCACACTTATTTTGATTAAGTAATTTGGTATATTGGTTTATAGTTTATGTACAGT